CATTCTCCTACTGATAAGACATTCAGGTTGTTCCAGTTTGGGGCTATTATACACATAAAGCTGCTATCTACATGCCTTTGCATGACATACACTTCATTTCTCTTGGGTAAATAGCTAGGAATGGAATGACTAATTTTAAGATATGGGTGTGTTTAGCTTTTTGTCTAATTTTTCCAAACTGGCTACATCATTTTGTATTCCCACCAGAGTGTAGGGAAGTCCCAATTGTTCCACATCCTAACCCACACTTGATATCGTCAGTCTTTTACATTTGAGGTAATATACTAATGGATTTTAAGTGGTATCTAATAGCTGTAGTTTGCATTTCCCTAATTACATTCCCTAATGATATTGAGCACCTCTCATAAGTTTATCTGCCATCTATATATCTTCGTTGGTAAAATGTCCAAATCTTTTGTCCATATTTTAATTAGGCTACTACTGAGTTTATTACTGACCACCTTTAAGAGGTCAAATTGTTTTCATCCAATGATTAAGTCTTATTTAAAATAAAAAAGCGTTACTACCGAACTATACACTTAAAAATGGTTTTAAAAAGATGAGACTGATCCCACAAAAAAAGAGAAAGCATTTCATCACAAAGACACAAAATTTGTGACATCACACTTTTTTGTGCAACTCTCCACAAACTCAAACTAATCTTCACTGTGAAAAGGAAATCACTAAAGCATGAAAGAAAAAAAAAACCAATGACCACACCACAAACTCTAACCTCAGAACTAACCACTACTAAGCAAAATAAAATGTTCCTTCATTTTTATGTTTTGCTGACAGCAATTCTGTGCAGCCCAACAAAGCAGCCACTAACCACATGTGACCCTGGAGCACTTGAACTGTGCTGTAAATATAAAATACACATTGGAGTTCAATGATTTAGCATGAAAAGAATGCATGTAAAGATCTCATTAATAATTTTTATATTGATTACATATTGAAGTGATATTCTGGGTAAACTGGATTAAATAAAATGTATTACTATTTTATACATTATGTTTTTTACTTTTTAAGAAATTAAAATAATTTTTTTCATTGATTAATTCATATATGGAAGTTAAAAAGGTTGTTCTCATGGAAGTAGAAAGCAGAACGAGGGTTTCCAGAGGTTGAAAAGGGCAGGGAGGGGGACAAAGAGAGGATGGTTAACAGGTACAAACAGAAGGAATAAGTTCTAGTGTTCAACTAAACAGGAGGAAAACTACTGTTAACAATAATTTATGTTGGGGGTGTGGGTGTGTGTATATATATATTTTTGAGTTGGAGGTCTCACTCTGTCACTTAGGTTGCAGGGGGTGGCATGATCATGGCTTACCGCAGCCTCGACTGCCTGGGCCCCGGTGATCCTTTCACCTCATCCTCCCCAGTAGCTGGGACTACAGGCGTGTGCCACCATGCCTGGCTAATTTTTCTATTTTTTGTAGAGACAAGGTCTCACTGTGTTGCCCAGGTTGGTTTCAAACTCCTAGGCTCTTGCCTTGGTCTCCTGAAGTGCTAGGATTACAGGTGTAAGCCATCACACCTGGCCAATTAATAATATATTTCAAAATAACCAAAAGATATTTGTAATGTTCCAACACAAATAATAAATGCTTGAGTATTTAAAATCCTTCTAAAAATACATCACACATTGTATACATATATGAGCATATCACATGTACCCCATATGTAGTCATTATGTATCAATTTAAAAAACAAAAATTTGACAAAAATAACTGTATGTTTACAGAATACAATACCTTGTGAATGAACTAAATCAAACTAATACATTACTTGTTACTTTTAAAAAAAATAATGACTACAAAATTTACATACGTAGCTTCGTACTATACTTCTACTGAACAGCATTAATCAAACATTTTTTTTGAAGACTCTGAAAATAACATATCTCCAACTGGTAAGGGAAAAAAATATATGTATGTATAATTTTTTTTGCATCCTGTTTCTCTAAGGTGTGAAGAAAATTGTGCAGTGGAAAGGGTTTAGCACCAGAACCAAGAGCCTTCTTAGGTTCGAGGATCAACTTTGTTACCATCTAGTTAAAGTGACCATGAGGTAAGTCATTTGGGTTCACTGGATTTAAGTTTTCTGATCTCTTTTCTTAGAAATGGGGTCTCCCTATGCTATCCAAACTAGAGTACAGTGACGTGATCATAGCTTACTGCAGCTTCGAACCCCTGGGCTCAAGTGATCCTTCCATCGCAGCTTCCCAAGTAGTGGCTAGGACTACAGGAATACACTATCATACCAGGCTTTGTTGTTTTTGTTTTTGTTTTTTTTGAGTTGGAGTCTCACTCTGTCGCCCAGACTAGAGTGCAGCGGCTGCTTCTGGCCACCGCAGTCTCAACCTGCTGGGCTCTGGCAATCCTTCCGCCTCAGTCTTCCAAGTAGCTGGAACTACAGGCGCGCACTACCACGCCCGGCTAATTTTTTGTTTTATTGTAGAGATGAGGTCTCGCCAAGTTGCCCAGGAGGGTCCCGAACCCACAGGCTCAGGTAATCCATTCACCTCGGCCTCCCAAAGTGCGGTATTACAGGCTGAGCCATCAAGCCCGGTTAAGGCTCCATTTTTGTAATTCAAAAAAATCAACAAAATGTATTATGGCTCCTATGTTTTAGAGCGCATCTTTCTTTTCTTTTTCCTTTTGAGTTAGGGTTTCACTGTTGCCAGGGTGAAGTGCAGGGGCACGATCACGGCTAACTGAAGCATGCACTTCCTGGGCTCAGGTGATCCTTCTACCTCAGCCTCCCAAAATGCTGGGACTACAGGTGTGAGCTATCATGCCTAACCTAGAATGCATCTTTCTATTAATGCACACTATGAGCTTATATTTTAATCGGTAGTGAGATCCAAACACACTAACAACTATTACACAAGGTAAATAGAGAGAGGCCTAAGAAAGGAGGTAAGTCCCTGTGATTCTGTGGCATGTGCAGGTGTATGTGTTTTAAAGGTGTATGTGTTTTAAACGAGTACATTATAGGAATTAAGGAAAACTCCAAGCACTTAAAATGTTCCTTCTAACTCTAAAATCCTAGTCTCTTAAAAAGCATTATTCATACTATACTAAGCACTATTATGTGGCTTAGTGATACATGGAATTAAATATTTGGTCAAGTTCTCCTCATGTGCACAATGACACAGGAATAAGTATAAATGGCATGCCATAGCGAGGTTCTATTTTATTTGAACAAACAACTCTGTAGCACTGTTCAAGTTTATCCAGGCCCAAATAAGCTCCAGAAAGCAAGAACTTTGATTTTTTTTTAATGAAAGGTAACTGTTGGTTATACTCACACATAAGAAAAGTGGTTTATTCTTTACCAGAAATCACTTAGCAAGTTAGGCTAGAATCCTGATAGCACTTTTCCTAACACCACAAATATAGAATAAACACAAAAAACACACACGGTCCTCCTCTCCCCACTCCCATCTTCAGGGGTAATGATTTACCACGAGACCCAGATGCTGTTATTTCAGTGATACTTCCATAAACTGGATGTGCATGACAACTACTATATTTAGGTCATGAACTCACAAGAGAAAAGTCGATCCTGAAAGTAAATGTACAATTATGTCACATCATATAAATAATCTGAACTTAAATGCAAATTCAAAGAACTCTACATACAAGAGCTCCCTTGTTAATTACATTCCATGGAAAAGTAGAAATCTCCACTTTAAGGGTAAGAAAATTGAGACACAAGTTAAGTACCAAATTTACCTTTCTTAAAAAGGTAAGAAAATTTAATAGGTATAAACTTTGCTGGGAAATGGTACCATGGCTTTGTAAAACCTATAGTCCAAATAGCCCAGATTCTTATCTATTAACGGCATGAAAGGATTATGAGAGGATGCTATTGTTCGCTCAGAACAATCAGAGTAAAACACTAGGGGTGCATTCCAAGTCATTCTGGTTTCCCTTAGTAACTCTTTACTAAATAGCTGTGAACGTTATCTAAATCTTTTATAGCTTGTTCTTATTCTCAATCTGGTATACCATTTTGAAGGTCAGAATTTTCCCATCTCTACCAAAAACAATTAGAATGTATTTGTTCCAAATGCATTTTAAGAAATAATTTAAGGCATATTCCCCAGTTCTATGATTCTGGAATTTGGTGAAAAGCTCATGTTTATCCATACAGACCCATCACGAAAGTAAGTTTTCATCTACACCCATTCTACACATTTCCTTTTCCTGACACCAACAACAAATGGCAAGCAAGTGCAGTTCAGTGAAAAGCCCAGGCCAAATGCAGAAGCTGGAGACGTGTTTCCAGCCCTGGTTCAGTCTCTTTCCACCTGTGGATTTGGGCCTTGAAGGCTCATAAAAAATAAACTACTTGACAAGACAATCTGCAAGTTCTCATCCAGACCCAAAACACTCTTTGTTTTAACCAATTCTCTGGCAGCTCATTTTGGATAGCCTTTGCTGGTCTTTCTTCAACTCTGTGTTTCTTAGTTGAAGGGTTTCCAAGAATAGACTGTGTTCCAATAAAGGTACTTTATGACTTTATACGACGGTTTTTATTTTGGATCTGAAGCTAGTTTTTGACAAATGAGGACTCATCGTGCATCAAGGAGTTCTCCCTGACACACACGGGAGGGGATGGGAATGTGGATGGGACAGGACTAGCCACAGATGAGTTGTTGAGGCCAAGGCCAGAAGATGGGCACGGGCTGGTTCACTATTCAAACTACAAAGTTGAAAAAACAAGAAAACATCGCTTTCAAAGAGAAAAAAGTAGCCTGACTGGCATTATCACAGGATCTTGTCTACACAAACTTTGCTCTCCACACCATTTCCCTTGGGATGAGATAGGATCTACAAGACAAAAGACTAGGCAGGGGTTCTCAAAGTTCAGCCAAAACTAAGGAAAACGAAGCAGAAACAAAGTCCCCAAGTGACCTGAAGGCTATCAGTGAGCAGCTCCGGCAGCGAGGGCGGAGCGGCGTGAGGCGCGGTACCTGGCACGGAACGGACCTGTTTCCGCCGAGCTGCACTCTGCGTCTCCTTCAGTGTATTTTCGTAACTTTGGACCTGCACAAGTTCAAGCCTCTGCGACACGGAGAGCGAGGAAGTGAACGCGATACTCCGCCAGGAGGACGCCTTGGGGGCATGGAAGAAAACAGAAAGGCATGGGATGTAGGGAGCCGAGACACCCTAAGGAAGGACAAACGAGACAAGCACTGGAGGACCAGAGGGAAAATACGCATCCAGGGAGGTTAAGCAGCGCGGGGCAGGCCGAGGCGCGCGCCTGGGGTGACGGAACGCCCCCAGGTCGGCGCCCGCGCTCCAGGGAAAGCTGGGGGCCTGGGCCCGGGAGGCGCGGGACGCCGAGTTCCCCTCCGGAGGGCGGCGGGGAGGGGCGGGCGCCGGCAAGGGAGGGGACGGAGGGCGGGCGCTCCCTCCGCGGGGGGGCTGTCCGCCGCCCGGAGCCCCACACGTGGCGATGGCGTCTCAGACTCCGGCCCCGCCCGCCCACGGCTCCCGACGGTCGCTAACCGAAGGAGGGCGGCTCCCACTCACCACCGCGCGGCTCCG